ATATTTTATATATATATTTAAAATGAGAATTTTATTATATTTATCCACAGTTAGTTCACGAATTAAATATGGAGCTTAATAAGTTGTACTTATGCATAATTTACTTGTAATCTTGAATTTTAAGTGATATGCATCAATAAACAGTATTTCATGTATAAAAGATGGTTTTTAAGAGTTTTTATCAAATGCTTTATGATATAGTATAGATTAAAAAAACCATCTATCTCCAAAACTAAAACAAACATTGATTTGGGTTTTGATCTTTCATGGATTTTGCTAACACAGGGAACACGAACAATTAAAAGTGAGAACTGAAAATACAATGTCTCATATTGAGAATTTTTTAGACATTTCATAAAAGTCGATATAACAACCAAAAAGTCAAAATAAAGTCTACAATACGACATGGTCTCAAGAGCTGCAGCGGAAATAAAGCCTACTACTGAGATTTTATTACGATACTGAAAATAAGTTCTAGACGACGATCCAACTAAAAGAAGATGCCCATCCTTCAACGCCTCTAGATCACACTTTTCCCATGCCTTTGCTAAAACTCTCAGTATGATACATCCCTGAAAAGGTTTTCAGTTTTATACAAGCGAGGGTTAGGGTTAGATAGACCAAAGGTCTAGTGAATTCCTTCTAACGATAAAGTTCCACAACGTAGACAGTTTTATAAATCATAGATATTAACAACAATGCATGCTCACTGAAATTATAGAACACCCACAACCTGTTGCAACAGCTGCTACACAAAAGCAACATAAAATAAATTCATGTGCTATGAACGGGAACATACCTCTCTGAAGTTAAGCATTCCCACGCTCACACTTGCATAAGGAAACATGCTTAAAAAAACAAGTTCAATAATAACGATTCCAACGCGTAAGGAAGTACTAAATACTTTTCTCATGAAAACTAAATATTAATAGTAAGAAAGTAGCAAAGGAAAATCGCTCACCTGAAGTCCAAGTCTAAAGGGACACCTTTTTAGATTAGATCACACCAACCGAACACCTGATTTGGGCCGTGCAAACAATGAGTAAATGCCTCAATTACAACCCCAATTGAACCACTAATAATCCCCTTAGGTAATAACTCAAATTGCAGCACTGAACCACCACTTATACAAAACTGAAAATCGGGGAAACAGTAGGTTACGCAATTAAGCGCGTGGCCTAGGTCGCGAAAATGCTCGCGGGGACCACTGTTTCCCCTGCACAATTCCAGTTTTGACTTGCACTCTAATGGGCTCAAATCCCAACCAAAATCTACTTCCAAAACATGAATCTCTCAGAATTAATCAAAAATTCTAACAATCAAACCAAATGGCCTTTAGCCTAGCGGTATCGTGGCCCTTGGCCTTCTAGGAGGTCAGGGGTTCAAATCTCACCATAGGTGAGGAGGGTGTGTGAGTTTATTTGTTGCATTTGCCGTATATAAATATTATATACTTCAAAAAAAAAATAACTAACAATCAAATCCATGAAAGCATCACATCTAAACTCTCACATGGAGTTCAATAAACAAGGGAGTTTCTCATATCTCCATAGAGAAATACTTTAACATAAGGTAGAGCCATAATTCTCAAATTAATTTCAAATAGGGAGAAGAATCCAAAGGGGAAATGTATTCTTACATGAAATTGAGCCCTAACTTCTTGACCTCTTTCAATCTTCCTCCCTCTCTCGATCTCCCGATCACACAAACACACACACACACACACACACAATAATGACTGATCCTAAGAGAAGAATTGAACTCAACTCTCCTTTATTAACTATTTACACTCCAGCTGCTGCATTCTAGTCGATAAGCCAACCTCACCTTTCAATTTCAATAATACTGTAAAATTGGAACTCGGGTTATTACAATTGATGGCGCGCTTTAGTCTAAATCGCTAAAAGAACAATTAAACCTTGGATCGAACCGCCCAATTTGGCTTCTTTTTTTCCAGATTGGACTGGACCTTCAGATCGCTCAAATAGCCAAAAACAATCTGGTTTTGAAACGGTCCAACGATTTTTTTTTTAAATCTTTGGACCCTCGTCTCTTTTTTAGGGGTAGGGGATGTAAATGATAACAGATCAAAGTGTTGGATCTAAATAGAACTTAAAGCAACTTGTTTGAAATCGGATATAGTTGTAAAGAATCAGGGTGGTAAAGGAACAAACATGGCATCAATTGACGAAGTTTAAACCCAAATACTTTTGGTGCAAATCTAATTCTCAACAATCCGAATCTAACCCATAAAACAATTTCAACAATACTCTAGAAATCAAAAAGCAGGTCGGTCCCCGTAAGCGGGTGGGTCAGACACATGTTCAAGGCCCACAAGAAATATGAGCCCAAATTCTTTTCGTATAGTAGTAGTCAAAAAAATGAAGGAAAAAAAAATTAGTATCTAATAGGACCCAAAAAGAATTTCATATTAAATTAACGACCCAGATATGTATTAATTAATTACATTGGAAAAAAAAAACTATGTGAAAAGTTAATCAGTCGTGCATTTTGCAACATTGCTTATTGTTTCTCAAAAAAAAAATTATCTTGTACCAAAGTTTAAAAACTATTTGTCTACAAAACCTTGTTATATTCTCCATCATTCATCTCTCACTAACTTTTTTGATTTTTCCATCCGCATGAATTTTATTTTTTATTAGAATGCAGTAGATTTCTTGTTAGTTACTAAGAAAAATCCTTCCTTTTGAAAAATTGTCAACAGTCAACTTATATGTATATTTAAGATTTTTTTAAACTATTATTGTTTTTTCATACATTATTGACTCTTTATTACCTAATATTGAGTGTACAAATCTTAATTACTCTTTTATCTCTAAAACAAGAATAAAATCTCAGGTTATAAGCAACATGATCTTTTGATTCTAAGATTAATGGTTCTGAATTTTTTTGTTTTAACCCTAAAATTTTAAAAGGGTGATGAAAAACATTAATCTGATGTGAGATGGAACATCAGTAGATTTATATTGATTTACATATAGTGTTACTCCGAGTATTTTCAATGTTGTGATTCTAAATGATATTAATCTATATATTAAAGTTTAAAAGGGTGATGAAAAACATTAACCTAGGATGTTTTTATTACGGTGGAACGAGTAGACGATGCTATGTAAAAATGATATGGTAGATAATTGATTTTTTCGTACTTATCGAGGGGGTTTTTTTTCACATGTCGCCAGTGCCTATAAAATGTTAAGAACGACTTTGTCAAAGAGGATTCAGTAGTTCAAGGGGCGAGTCGGAATCGATGCAATTGGGGTATAAATTTTCGACTTTTCTTTAAAGTTTCTATATATTTTTGTTTGGATTTCAGTGATTAAGATGATGATATGCTCGAATATTACTTAAAATAGCATTTGAATGATTAATTTTGGGGTTTTTAATGAATCGTAACGATACTGAAATCTCAACTAAAGATGTGTTCAATTAGAGCTGTTTTTGTAATGGTTTTTAATGATTTTGATGTCAAGATGTCGTCATAATCTGGTTTATAGCACCATACGAGAAGCCCCATGAAAGGAGCTTGAAAATCGATCTCAAATGATTTAGCCTCTACAATTTGCATTGTGAGTCGTGTTTTGGGTCAAGAAGCAGGGTCGGGAGGTTTTGGGTCATGGGGTGGATCCGTATTTCTATCCACGGGGCTTTATCCGGGTCAGCTTTATGGAGCGGGTAAAACACCAATTATGGGCCGATATGTTTTATGGACTATAATTATTTAGGCCCACAAACAAATCTTCATTCTTCCATAGTTCATTTGCAAATTACATTATTAAAACAGTATTGTTGAAATTTCCGTTGGAGCACTGAAATGCGTAGAGATCGGAAAGAACAGGCTACAACTTGCCTGCATGAAGCCGAAATCGCTAGTAATCGCTACAACGTGTCAAGCCCTGGTAAGGTTTTTGGCTTTACATCGAATTAAACCATACACAAGTAACAGGGAACATATGAATAACATTTTTTATTTTATAAAATAATGAATAATTTACAAAATTTTAAAAATTAGTACGCTTACAATTGTAAAGATTATTTTTTATTTATTTTAATAATAATAAAAATACTTGATTAATGTGTTTCACGACATCGTAATGTATTAAATCCAATTGGTCTAATATAAATAAATAAATAAATAAAGGGCAAAATGTACAAAATAGAAATCTACTTTCATAAATTTTTTATTATAGCATTATACTTTCAGTTTTTCTTATTACAGCAATGTATTTTCAAACTATTTTTTATTAAGACATTGTACTTTGAAAAATTTACCCATTATAGCACTGGGTAACCTTTTGATTTAAATTTACCCATTATACCAGGTTTCCATGCCACATCATTGTCCACATAGGTTGTCCACATGTACTATAGTGATGTGACTTTCTTACTACATCATTGTACTTTCAAAATTATTTTATCATAGCATCTACTAGTTCTTATTAAACATTGTATTTTTAATTTTAATTTTTAGATATTTTACATGTTATTTAATAAATGTATTAAATGAATTAAAAAAATTCTAAATTATTCATTGATATACCAATATCAATAAAACTAGTAGAATACAACTTATCTCG